GGTGGTGTGTGTGTNTGTGGTGTGGGGGGGGGGTCGGTGTGTGTGTGTATGGGGGGAATGCACGTATAGGGGTGTGGAGAACTCGAGACTCTGACCTTTCACATAGAACCCATCCACACAGGCCCCAAAATATTCTTCTGCGACCTACCAGTAAGAGGTCTGAATGGTGGGTTGAGTTTGTATGTGGCTCTGTATGGTGGGTAACAGAAGATGGTAGTGTCTTAAAGACGGGACAGCAAGAAAATGTGACAATTTTACCACGTTAATATCACCTTGGTCACTTTTAACATTCCTTGAATGCTGAATGTGGTAAATATTAGAGTAAAGCGTGTTCAATATTCCGACAACCGTGGTCCCATTATCAGTGTGATTGTCCTATGCCAAACGCACTTTCCAAATTGCAGCACATCCTGGCGACGTTCGATCAAAGTGCGGGTATGTTAAGCTCCCACTAAGATAGCCCCAAGCTCTTTGGTAGAAAAGGGTAGAAGAGGGTGAGTCATGAAATGATCCAGACTTTCAATTCGCACCCCCATACAAAAAATGCTTGAATGGATATTGCTTGTGCTTAAAATCTCATTTTAACCTTTTGATTGACTGTTCATGAAGATTTAGTATGTTGATTGTAGGTTCCTCTACCCAGGGGGGTCCAGGGGGTTGGAGAATGCAGCAATGACATGGGCCGTCGATCATAAAGCCCGGTCTATGTGATGCCACCATGCCCCATCGGCGTATTGACACTTTCTGAGTAGTGGTGTCGCCTTTAACGACCCTCTGTCTACATATTCATCACAAGTGAAGATGTCAATCTTCCGAGGGATCTTCAATGATGTTCTGATAAGAACACATATATGTCAATCTGTGGGAAAATCCATTACAAGGATCTCAAGACCATAGACAAAACGCAACATCTGACTGGATATAACGCCGCTAGGGCTATGAAACTACTACAGAGTATCTTAATGTAACTGTATTGGAGAGCAGAAATACAAAAGATATTTTTAGACGGAGCATTCCTTTACGAGGATACAAGGACAAAATATTTTCATGGCTTTCCAATTCCTCGGACTGTTAAGTGTGAAGGACATATAAACAAGACTACAAGCGTTGTGGAGTAATTTTCTCAGACAATTGTGTGTGACGATTTCTTGAAGGCAACTGTCTCCTGATGCCATAGATCCCATACTTCATAGCTCGCTTGAGGAGTTTCTTTGTCAGTTAATTAATGTCTTTATCGTCGTGTTGGTCGATTCCAACGGCAATCTCTGTATATAATTGCAATGAAAGAATGTTCACTTCTCTCCCGAAGGCTACAGAATGTTGTGTTAGAAGCGTGTAGGATAGTAGTTTTGTGCGATGTTTACAAGTATACTATCAGCATAGATGAGGCACATACAACGGTTTTGCAGATATATCTAAGTATAATGCAAAAGTATAATAGCCAATATTGTACATCTTCGTTTTCTCGTTTTCTGAAAAATTTAGTCTGATAAATGCAGCTAGAAAGATATGGTACCAATAAACCATGTTCAGTGAATAGTAGGTATATATCCATGCTGTTTTGTATGATTTTGATATGAAGTATGTATGTAAAGGTCACAAAATCGCGTCTGCATTCACCTAATTATTCCTTAGATGTTATCTTTGTCATCGGACATGGATAATGTGCATCACTATAACTACATCAACAGTCCGCCTGACAGCCATGGATCTATGCTACATGTTAAACATGCAGGGGAAATGTAGATACTTATCAACGTATTCCTGTGTCTCATATCATTACTAATTTGTGAGGGACTATACTTTTGATGTAATCATGTCATGATGACGAACCCATTCGTAAGTGTACAATCTAATGGTAAGTATGTGTGTGTCCTGGAAGGCAAACCGTTTTAGAAACTTTTATCATGCTTGACTACCTTCTCGTCAATAAGAATGAACCAAACCAAACAGACAACAGCTGGAGGCAAGTTAGAAAGATGAATGACTTTTTCTCACCATGTGACACATCTAGTATCATGAATCACTAGTGACGACCACATAAACCAAAGCAGGACGGTAGGACAGACCAGTTCGCGCCACACGCTCCAACTGGAGGTTAGTTTTACCTGTAGTTTGAACGTAGCTGTAAGCTGATATAAGCATGGAAGAGAAGGACTTTCACCCACGCCACGCCGATCTTGTCATGCTGGAGAGTGACGACTTCCATCTTCCCAACGAGCTGGATCGTCTGGACATTGATTTCACCGAGCGCTTCATGGGCGACAGGGGGTTGGACCAGCTCGGTTGTGGTGAACGTTGTGATTGTGACGGTGTGGTCGATGCATGGGCGATCGCCCAGGTGTTACAGCCGTGCACCCACTGTGTCGACAAGATGCAGCGGGCGAACAGTTCCAGTGATAGCCGCGGAGAATCCACCGGCGATGGTCACTCTTCCGCGCGACTCGGCAATGATCTCTCCGGCAAGCTGTCGGATGAAATGGCCGCCAACAACAACCGTGAATGCGGAGACCTGTCCTCCACATGTCCCTCAGAAGAGCAGAGCTCCTGGTCAGAGACGTGCAGCGGCTGCACGCTGTGTGACGCCGAGTTCGATTTGGACCTCATCTCTCTGCTCACACATGGCGGAAGTGACATGGCATGTTTACCGGACAAGGCCATCTCGGCTGAAGAAATGGTCGCCTCGTGGGTACAGCAGTGCACAGAAAGACCGTCAGGTCATCCAGGATCGTGTTTTCATAGACACAAGTTTGGGAACGTTTTGAAGACGATGTTACAGAAGACATTTCTTCGAAAGGTGAAGGAAAGGTTACAACGACCCAAGCAACAGAAATGATGTTCTACAGGGGCTAAGGGATGTTCTACATTTCTCAAAACTGTTCAACATAAAAAGAAAGCTTGGTAAAAAATTTTCTCAAATAAGGAAATAGCTGAATTGTTGAAATTTAATATCTAGTTTATTCTTTGTACCAAATGGCAAGATGGCATGCTCAAACTAACTTGTAAGCAAATTGGATTCGGTCGGTTGAAACTGTTAGTACAGAGTGGTACACCATTATACATATGTACTCGTAAATGTACAGTAGAACATCTTCATTTATGATAATGCCAGGGAAATTTTGGAAAGTTCTTGATCAATAAATGAACTATATTAAACAATATCTTGTGTGTGTGTTGTGTTTGGCAGCGTTCCTATTGGTACTTATTGTGATCAGTTTAGATCAAACCAAAATAGTGCAGGCAAGATCCTTGAAATGGTCAGTTCTTCCACAATTGGCCTAATTGGCCGTCACTCCCTAGTGGCAAACGCGGGCAGACATCGGGAAAAATTATAGGGCATGTGCTCACCCCCTGCCGAGGATAATTACAGGGATCAGCACTATCTAAAGTGATATTTAAACTACATGACAAGTAGGCAGGGAAACTCAGCTACTGTGGTACAGTTGTGGTTAGCATGGACTTACCAGAAAGTGGTTTAGCTGTCATAAACATGTTTCTATTTTTGCTAGCGCTACTTGCACATTAATTTGGAGTATTATAGATTGGTCGGTCGTTCAGCTCAGGAGAAGGTACCTGTAGTTAATACCCCTGAATATTTTTGCAAGCTCCGTACAGGTAAAGTGTTATACAAACACAGCAGTTTGATGGCAAGGCTGGCGAGTGAATACTTACGCCGCGTATGGCAAGTGTTACAATTAGTATACCCCCTACCAGCACAGATTATGTGTTAATCCTACAACAGGTCCATAAAAATGAAGTATGTTCCACGCGAAGTGCCACGTGAAGTCATGAACCGTGTCCATCCTCTGTTCAACAAAGTCCCCCGGGGGCAACATGCTGATGGCAATGTCCCAGATGCAATGATTTATACATTACATCCTAAGTATTGACGTAATAGTAGTGATAGTAGTGACACAATATTGCCTGGATGGGTATAAATAACAAAAGCGCAACAGGTAAGGCCCCCTGGCCAATTTTGTTGGGATAACTCTAAAAGCAACATAAAGTGTGAGTGTGTGTCTGTGTGTGTGTCTGTGTGCGTTCATATAGGCCTGTAACAGTGTGTGCAAGAGAATTCGCAAAGTCTACTGTGTGGCAATGCTGCTCACTGTTACCATAATGTGACGGGGATGGGGAAGTATCATAAGTTGCTGTCTGCACTCGCGACAGAAAATTGCAAACGGTTATTACGGTAATTTCATTTAGTGTATGCTTTTATTTAAAATACCAGTGGTATAGCATCCACAACACACAATACAACCGTTGATATGTATGAGAAAATACGACATTTAATTTTCCCCACATTTCGCTTGAGGTGTCTCCCACATCGTCTTAAGTTGCACTTTAATGATACGTTTGCTGACGGCAGATCAACAAGTGGCGTGACAAAGCAGATATTCATCAGGATTCCGGGCATTGCTCACACATTAAAACGGCCAATCTTGCGTATGATATCCCCTGTGCCTTCAAGTGGCACGATCTGCCATATTCAGTTGAACGGACCTGTCCTTGATGACCAGCTCGTGTGCCGAGGACATAGGGATCTATTTTTCCTTTTGTAGCAAAGTTCGATAAATGTCCAATGACCGCACTGAACCCACCAGCTGTCTGACTTCTGTCTCTATCTTGGATGGAATCCAGACGTGAATGTTCGCGATCACAGTTGGTGATGAACATGTTGGTGAATGTGTCATCAGTGTCATCACGACCGACTTTATACATACAAATAAATGATCTGCCTGCTCGCCGACAGCATAACCCTGGACCAGATCTCTCATCGATGACTAATTGGACACTGGGAATGAAAAATGGCTTTATAATGGGCTCCCCCAATGGTATTTATTCCATCGTTTCCTGCCATTGACACCCATTGTTCCTTCAGTAGTTATATAGCTGGTGTGTTACGCCGAAGGGCGGTTATACAAGCTATACAGATACAGATATGCTATATTGATGTTTGACCTTGTTTACAAATTGGCTTGAAGTATGCAAACTCAGCTACATTGGTCATCCTTTGCGTATCCTCCCCTTGCGTATAAATTTGGTAAATTGTAGGCTACATTGGATTTGAGAAAGATTCTGTAAAACATAATAATATAATCTGGTCCGACAAATGGTTTGGGCTCCATGTTATTATGCAGTGTGTTCTCTACAAAAGCTCACACAGTGAGCTCGAGGCTGTGTTGTGGAAACATCAAATACTATTAAAAAGGCATGTACCTGCTCTATCAATATGTAGTCTTCTGTCTTATGTTGTCGTCAGAGCAATATATGCATACCCATAGCTGGCATGACATGACATGACGTGACGTGACGTGACGTGACATGCGGACGTCATGTTGTGGGCATGGGAACTGAACTGGTGCGAGGCGTGTCTGGTTTGCGCCGGACACAGCCGGAAATACCAAATACAGAGCCTCGGTAGGTACAACTTTAGGCATGTATCAAAGCATGCCCCCAAATATCATCGGAAGCGTACAGCAAGTGATTAATCGCTTAGCTACGTGTCGCCATCCGTACCTTGAATGCCAAATTAAAAACTCCCTTTGACTTCGATGAAAACAACAGTGACATGATAGAGCAGTCATGACCATATTCACAGCTACAATGCTGTTTTCATCGGGCTTTCATCATGTCCATGTGATTGTGAGTAGTAACTACAGACAAGCAGCAGATAGAGGCGCATGTTGCACTGTGATAACCGGCAGGTTCTAGACCTATACGTCAAACTATTGATATCGAGGAACGCTAACCAGATGTCAGGGGCTATCTAGTTACAAGGCGACTATAAATAAAGGTCCGGCCTATACGTACAGTAGCCTGTGGTAAAACCTGTTGATGAACAACATCAGGCCGTCAGGGCCAATAAGTGGGCAGAGAAACGGCTGCCCGATCTTTACACTCCTTATGCAGACAGAGGTAGACGTGGCGGTTTCATCGGTACGTCATTTTAGCATTTACGGGGTCATTATTACAGCTTAGAAAGATTTCCGTGGCTTTATTCATTAGATAAAGGCATTCGGAGGGGATCAGCGTAGTCTGTGATTTGAGACAACTGTCTCACAATCTGGGCATATACTACTACGTATACGCCATACATTTCGCCAGTCCATCTACGGAGGGAGATCGCTTAATTTTCCTTTTATCAATCCTTCATCTAAGTGTGTTCTCAAAAAGGGAGGGAATATTTGTGTCTGCTGCCAGTTGAAACCATATTCTTCATGTATTTTCCGTATCAACTACTAACTACACTGCCGCGTGTCGATGTAACTGAAGATACGGCTCTGAGATGTAGCTGTCGTATCGTGTGCTTATATCTTGCGTGTTCATTACCATGTGTGTATCTATTTGCCTATTGTTTCTGTCAGCAGAGATCTAGAAATCAGAGAAACTCAGGGCAAAATCTGAGCAAATTGGGCACCCCTAATAACCTTTACCACCGTAATGCCTGCGTCATGTAGATTATAATATCAGTTACAGGCACGCTTCCAAATCTCCTACTGTAGATGACAAGCATGTGGCATGTAACTACCAACGTAAGGAGGGACTGCTATTAGTACGTTGAACCAACAAAATTGTGCAAAAAGTTTTTTGTACCATTCTTAATCTTAAAAACCGTAGTACCAGAGTATAAGATGCATTGATGTGGGCAAGGTGGCTTGGTGTGGGCCAGTCTTTAGATGTTAGCATTACGCAAATCTTTTGCAATTTTTTCCGCAATGGAGATCATCAAAACTACGTATTATAAATGTACGTAATCCTTATATCTATAATAAGTAATCCTAGTTAGAAAACAGATGTCTATAAAATTATACCGGCCGTTTATAATCACAATTTACCTTCCGAACAGTCCTCACATGGCACCGTCTTTCCCCTCATCATAAGCATTTGCATTCTTTCCAGTGAGGTTGTATCAAGTATCTCCGCAAGGCTTTACAGACGACATTGCTGTCGTTCTTAGCTCCGAGTGCCAAATTGTCAAGGAAATTGGCACAAACATCCTACATGTTTTCTGCGACCTTCGTGTTGGATGTTATGCGCGGCAAACATGAAAGATATTGGCTCTCTTTCAGAAATTATCAGTTAGGCCATGTTGATTTGATTATATGGATGACATCCGCGCGCGCATGAATTTTCGGCCATTTAAAAAAAAAATGTTTTCAACCATACTGTAAATCGTGCAAAACAGTTGCTAAATGAGCAAAAATATACCATACGTTGCAAGGAAAACATTTAGAAACGATACCAATGTCGTAGAATGCCAAAAATCAAAGGAAAAAAGACAATAATGTAAAGAAATGAATTCGAAGAGTAGATTATTCGCCATAACATATTCTGTGCCATTTGTTCAACCTTCATGACCACGTAGATTTCATAGTGAAAGCAACTTTTTTTCTTGCAAAACTTTTTTTTTATTCGCACGCGCGCATCAGTTTTGGGGTTCCCAGAGGATGTCATCCATATAATCAAATCAACATGGCCTTAGCAATGACATTGATAGAATATTGTGATAAGGGATAGTTTGTCATGGTGATGATTAGACGGGAGTTATAGAAAGTATTCATCTGGATCGTGTTCGGTTAGCAAATTTCGTGGCCAGACGATTGCTGGTGGCAGACGATATGTGATGTGATCTAATCCTAGGACACACCAAATGCACCTACTTCTTGAAACGGGCTTATAAACAGCAACGGTGAGAAACATCTCATGTAATAATAATAACAATAATGATAATAATCATATATGTTCAGTTTTCTCTTTCACTAGCTGAAAAAGTTGCCAAAGCATATAGTTTTCAGCCATTTGATGTATATAGGGTGCACGTTTTAATGACATTGGCAGTACTTTGTAGATTCCATGCCCAACCACCCTCCATTGCATGCAGCCACCTCTATGCTGACCACACGTGACTTGTATTCATGCAAACTTGACCCTGCGTCGTGCATGGGAGTGAACGTCACAAATCATCGCCAAACAGCTGTGTCATCCCCCGGACACTGGTCATCGTCAATCATCACCATCACACACGTCTCTACACTGCCCATATGCACGGCACCCCTTACTTGTACGTCTGTTTGGCATCCATGTTTTAATATGGACATCTGATACAATTTCGGCGCGTGGCAAGGTCAGGTCACCTCTCGGGGTCGTAAAGGAGAATATTTCCCACGACTTTACGATTTGATGAAACTTTTGCACCGATTTGTACCAGTACAGCAGTATAAAGATTGAAGGGATGACGTAAATGGATATTCTTGGCTTTCTTGGAACATATGAGACTAAGTAATACACTTGGCCTCGTAAAAACGCCATAGGGGACATGTGGAGCGTACAAGTATTTTATAGACAAGACCGGGTACCGACTGCAAAGCAATGGCAATTCTAGAGATCACGTTTTTCGTTTTGCATTTTTGTCTGCGTCATGATCTTCAGTAGTACAAGTTACTTGCTTCCTAAAATGCCTGAATGTATCTATATCTTTCATCAAACTAAGCACACATGCGCTCGTACATTACCACTAAGGTAGCGTGCGACAATGTTATTTTGCTGAAGCCCTCCAAAATGCGAAGGTCAACACCAGCTTCGTTTGTTGCCACATACATTAGTAATTGGCAGACATAACAAGCACCAGGCACGATACGTTTTCGCCATATTTGAAAGCGCGCGCCAGTTGTGTACATCTGTGCGAGAAGCCACCGGGCCTAACGATTTGCAGCTATCAGTCAGTCTCACATGCCAATCTCTATCCACTTAGCACTGAGAGGGAACCGATTGCCTCCGACATCTATAAAAGGGAAGCGTCGTTTGTGAGTGCGTACTACAAAAGGGCGGGAGAAACGGTCAGCAGACAGAACCGAACGCCACAGTCAGAGGCAACATGCCCCGTCCAGCGGTCAGACCTCGCACGGCCGCAAAGTACCAGACCAGCTGGAAGAACAGCGGCGGGAACAGCAGTGCTCCGTGGAAGGAGTGGAGATTCGGCATCAAGCCAGGAGCTCGGGGCAAGAAGTAGTAAGTGGTCTTCACGGTCTTCTGTTTTCATCTCAAGAAGCCTTTCTCAGTCAGTCAGCACTTGATAATCAGTACATTTTGGTGGTTTGAGTATTCTGATTGGCACGGTAAGCAAAATGTTGGTAAGTCACAGAGTTTCTGTTTATGACTGTATTACAGAAACCACACACTATTGGTAAATCAATCTGGCTCATTCTAGACACGACTCGGCTCAGTAAATGAATGCTAGATTCTGCCGTAGAATTTCACTCAAACTGACTCAAGGTCGGGCAAACACCAAAACTGCGTATGAACAACCGACACAATGATGACTATTGAAGCTTGCAGCAGTCTTCATACAGAGCCATGATGCATATGATCTGTGTACCAATTAATGGCATAGCTTTCAAAATGGAACATGGTCCAAATTCAGCGCTGATCAATGGCAGTAGATGGGTAAAGTTACTGTGTAAATTTAGTCGGTCGTTACACGCTCTTAAATGAAAATGCTTCGCGTTCGTATCCCAAATTGACACAGTAACGCCGAGAATAGCTCACACGTGTGTGCTACAACGTGATCGTTGTTGCCGCACGAACCCAAGTTCAACGAGGCCACCAATCTCATTAAAAACTAATGAAACACTGTGTGAAGTATTTTCTGTTCAGACAAGGCCTTTGATCTGCCTATTTGCTCGCAGTGGCAGTCAACATGCCATCAGTTGAAATTCAACGATGCCAAAAATAACTCTGTAATGAGTTTCACAACCATACGCCTCACATCAACAAGATCTTAGAGAATTCTCTCTCACTACATTGATACAACCGAAGATACTTGGTCCTGAATAGTGTACATTTGAACAGGAAATCAGAAACCAGCATAGTTGGATCTTGCTCCCATAGGAATCTGAAAAATGTACATGTCTGGGCTATTTCCAGTATCGGTACTAAAATGAGAAGCAAAACATTTACATTTCCAAGGTATCAGGCACAGTACAATCCTTGTCCTCTCCATGGTCATGGTCAGTAGGAATTTAATTTTTCACGGACTGTATGCTTGAAATTCCTGGTATCGAGACCAAACCATTGCAGACTACTTGTGATGGAAGCGTTTTATCCGGTACGACCTTGTTTTTGCAGACACGAGTCGGTGCATGATCTAGTAGTTTGTGTCAAAAGTTTGTCCCTGATGACTAATCTCATCATTATTTGCCGCCTGTAACCACTGGCCGCATTGGATACTGCCTGGCCAGTTTGATACTGTCTTGGAACCACCCAAAGATCTGTTTGGAGATTACCTGATTGCGGCACCAGGGCAGACGTGTCTGTCGGCACGCACTCGTCCTCGACACGCCGACATTTATCAGTTGAGATGACATTGGTATGGTAAGGACAATGTGAAACATGGCAGGGAGAGAGATCATGTTATCTCCAATTCAAAAAGGAACCAACTTGTGTGCGAATGGCATGCATATTTGCTACACACATATCAAATTCTACGAAAAATAGTTACCCTGTACCAGATGTTCTTCATTTTTCTCCTCAGCTATACCGTACAAGATGTTACTATCGGCAACGTCACACTCAACATGAAGGCAGTCTACAACGTGACACAAAAAGATGGTACTCCTCAAGTCAATATTCTTGCTCTTTTTTTCTCTATTTGTAGATTGAGATGACTGATTTAGAATGTTGTTCTAATTGTATTATGCACATTGCAATATGTGCTTATTCATTTCCATGGAGTTCCAGGTTCATGCAAATCATCTTGATATCAATGGTATAGTTAACGTCTAAACTAGTTATTTTTGTTCAATCTTGTATCACATTTTCCAGCCTTGTTCTTCGCCACTGGACTGAGGCTGTGGCCATCGGCAAGGGTGAGATATTAATTATAAAAGTTTGTCTGTTGATTTCTCCTTTTCCCCCAAGAGTTGTTAAATAAGTAAACAAGATAAGTGAATTCGTCTAGATCACAAATGACACACAAAATCAATTGTCATATAACTTTCAATTCTGTCTGGTGTTCTCGTAAGACTATTCAAATTCTGTCTGCTGACCTACAATTCTCTGCCTTAACGTCCATGTATGATGTGCAAATAGTTATTTACAGAGCGAGCCTACTTCCCCATGATCCATGTAACGAACTTCAGACTTGTACTCTCCTCCTCACGCAGATACTGTCCATGTACCTGGCTGCACACCCTGAGGTCCTGGCGTCAGCTGAGACGATACTGGAGCTGGGGTCGGGGTCTGGTCTGGTGGGGATCGCCGCGGCCAAGCTGTGCGGTCAGCCGGGGAAAGTCGTCATGACGGACCACAACGAAAACGTGCTCGAACTGCTACAGGAAAACATAGACAGTAACTTTGAGGAAGGAGAAGGTAACTATGCTACACAACCTCAGGTTGTGTATGATTTTATATTGACTGATAAAAATTTCATATCACAAATGCTTCCAAGTGGCATTTCATTCCTTTCGTATAGTTAATCAAGCTGGGTGCCATGAAAAACAGAACGACCCGATTTCCACATGTTTTCCAACAGAACGCCCAACTTGTGAGTTCCTTGACTGGTGCATGGGAGTGGAGAGGTTTAAGAAGCGCTACGGGACTTTTGATGTCGTCCTCGGGGCAGACATTGTCTACTCCGAAAGAACCATCATGCCCATGCTCAGCACAGCCAGAACTCTTCTTGCCGAAAAGGTGCGTAGAGAGTGTATTTGTTGACATATCATTGCTGTCGACGCTAGTAATGCGAGACCATGATTTTCTATCCCGCAAATTACACATGACCAAATGATTGTTTGAAGATAATGAATGTCGAACACTGTTGTGCACCATAATGTGAATGCTAGGTACCCGAATATCTTCGGCTAAAACTTTTGTCGAATGAACTGTTATAGGTAATAACGCTTGCAATCAAATGTAGATAAGCTGCCATGTAGAGACTGGCCTGAAATATCGCGAGATTGCTGACCGGAGTCTACTTCCAGGCAATCTTTGATGAGGAAGTCAGGCAGGAGAAAACAAACAAAACATTTGGTCCTCGCGATCGTTCGGGCCAGTTTCATTGCCATTGTCACTGGCTCATTAGCTTTTCCAGATTTGAAAGAATGGTGATCAAAGGTCAAAGGTGACCACGCACCAAAGGTCAGATCTTTTTTAAGATCTTGACCTGTGCAAGTACAAGGGCAAGTAGATTACTCCTCAATCGGTAAGTTTGATTGGTTGAACTTAGCGAGGAGACGTGTTGGAATTCCGTACTCTTAACCAGCGGTAGTGCCTGCGGTACAATGTGTTCTAATTCCCTATACGGATTTCTCGCTTCTCTCACACTAAAACTAACAAATCTGTAACATGTTCTCCAAGAGAAAACCATGAGACGGCATGTTTACTTTATCGATCGTGCACCATGCTTTGGGAATTAAGCGCATCAACTAAGATATGTAAGAGCAATATATTGTTGATAGTTTCTCAAGCAAAGAACAATAGTCTAGGACATATGACAAAGACGTAAAATTAACCATTAATTCTTGTAACGTCTGTGTCTAACATGAGATCCATGGTGGGATTCGATCTTTTTAGTCGATTTTCTCTGACAGGCGATAAAAATGCAAACGGATATAGATCATAGATCACTGAATTTCCCCGCAGAACGCCATGCATCTACGTTACTCCAACAACGTTAACAGATTCTCAGATAATACTGTTCTTTGACGACCTAATTTGACGTAATGTAATCACAAGCTACATAGAAATTATGTATTTATTTATTTATTTATGAAGATTTACCACATTTGTGGAAGGATTGACATAACAGGTGACTACCACCTTTTCAAAGATGTCAACCCCGAGACCAGGCTGTAAGGTTGACGAGATGTATGATAAAACCGCTATGATGCAACTGTGTATTTTGTTCTGTTGCCACAGCCATCGTCAGTATTCCTGCTGGTGTACGTGGGGAGGCTGAAGGTCTATGACGAGATGTTCCGGGAGTGTTCGGCCGAATGCCAGCTGCACTGTACCGAAGTGAAGCTCGACAGCATCCCGGGGGCTGCCGACATACAGGACGACAGCGCCATGCTCCACAAGATCAGGGTCATAGTTCTCAGACACAAGGCGTTCCTGGACAGAAGTCTCGACCTCCTTGTTGCGGAGACGCTCGAACGAGTTCGAACTGTTGAGGTTGAGGATACGGCCGACAGCAAGGGCGCAGAAATCAAGAATCCCGTTCCCAGTGATGTCGACGTCGTGGTCGATGAATCCACGGAATATGACAGGTTTCCTATCTCTGATCACAGCAGTACGCCACAGTGCTCTGGGTCAAAAGACCCTTCCGCAACACCAAGCAATGAAAATGACGGACATACACCTGTTATCGACGAAACGGAAAACCCGTCTGATTGCAACGTAATCGTGCCACTTAAACACATTGCAATTGAAGCGTTAGTCGATGCAGCTGAAGACAGGTTACCAGTCGAGTCAAACTGTAATGTCATGGAAGACAACGGAGAGGTGGCACACAACTTTGGCACTGACATTGTTGGAGGGAACTCTCAAAACGAAAGCAGCGCGAAGAAAGACAATGACTTGTCAGGTTTGCCAGGGACGGATGAAGGTGGAGAAGCACCGACAATGACAGCACCAGCCGGCTGTCACAGCAGTACACACCCCGGTACAGACATCCCGAAAGACGACAGAGAATTGAAGAGCCAGGGGAAAGAGCGCATTTCCGTTATCCCCACCGTGATGGCTGCGTCTGAAGCCGAGGAGAAACCGCCGATTGTGAACGGTGCCCTGACAGCTGAACTGCCGTCCATTCAGGTGACATCTACGGAAGATGTAGTTGATTTAATGTCTGATGATGTAGAAACAGAGAAAAATGTTGTAGAGAGCAGCGATAGGGTCAATGTAGATGACTTAACGTCAAAGTCAGATGAACCTTATGAAGCTAATATGGTTGTAGGTAGTGAGTTAAAGGTTTCACCAGACTTAGCATCTAATATTGATGATACGATAGACGCAGTGATGGTAGCAGACAGGTTAGATGATGTACCAAACGAGGCTGGACTAGATGTTGACATTTGCACCAATCAGCTGCCTGTTAGTGTCACAGAAACACTACACTGTGATGCACGGGATAGGACTGACACCAAATTTAACCAAGAAGTAGAGTCTACCTCTATGACCAAGTCAGAAAACGGCAGGCAATCTGACGATATGACCATGTCGACAATTCAACCTCTTGACGAAGAGGTGTCTGGTATTGAGACTGAAGCCTCGTTGTTTGAGTCGAGTGAATCATTAGAAAGCACACAGGGCGGTGACAGAAAACTGAAATCTTTTGACGAAACCTCTTTGCTGGAAAATATGGGCAGCATGCAACCATGCTCAGTTTCAGGGGGCGATGATGAAATAATATATCATGTAGGTGATGGTGAAAATGAAACACGTTTTGATACAGACGATAAAGAGCCGGATAATGACATTGCAGAAGAACTCCAGACATCGCCAGATAATGACGATGATCAAGATGAAACGTCAACTATAGAAGGAAATGAGAGACAAAATTCTAGTGCAGAAGTAGATTCATTATCATATGATTCTCAAGAAGGGTCATTTGAATGGGATTCGGTGGCATTTAATTTCACTGATGAAGATATTGATGATGTGATCGATGAACTAGTAGATAGTAGGAGGGATGGAACAAAAACTATATTCAGTGACAAAGGAGAAGAACTAGACGACATAACTACTCACGAGGGAAATTCAAAGATAGAACGAAGTCAAAAGCTTCAGACAAATACAATATATGGAGAGTTCAGTGCCAGCGATCCACACATGTCCCTGTACTCTACCATGTTGCATCTTGTTCTGATCCCCGCGTTTGTATCCGTGGTCATGTTTCTTGTCGCTCTTTCTGCCTCCGTTTGGCTCCAGATTTTCTTTAAGACCTGAATAAGAAATAGCAAAAAAGAAAATAGGCAACGAGAAACAGAAGAGATCCAGCGCGGGGCACATGAAGCGACAAAACACCGTGAAGAGTTGGGTTGGGTTATCAGAAGATTTCAGGCTTTCTATGGTCGCCAAGTGAAGTAAATCACCGCTGATGCGCCCAAAACTTTACCTTCAACTCAAAACGTTTTGTGCTTTTTTGAATTTAGAATCCTAAGACTTGGATTTTGATGTGACATTTACCAACGTTTGTCAGATTCGATCAGTAACATCATAGTTAGTTACTGTGACGTCAGTTACCCTGGCTAGCTCCGTCGTTAGTACATGGTTGGGGATCACGTGTTCTTCGTATAGGACCTCAGGAGACTGAGAAAATTGTGGTTCACACTTCGATAAAGACGAACTTGAAACCAAGATCAAAGCTTCGATGAATAATTAAAACACAGGCTATCGTGACACTGTTCGATTTCAGTAGCTATGAGATCAGAATAGAAAATAGCAGGATAGACCAACGTGTTAAACCTTCTTGTACCTGATTATCTAAACAGGTATACTTAGTAGATATAAGGGAAGTTGGGAAGTTTTCACGTTTTTAAAGGGCTATATTAATGCATGAAGGATCGGTGGAAAAAAGTTGCTGTTTTTGGAAGAATTTAGTTTAGATGTTGTGTGTATAGATCAGTTTCATGATTCCCTCAGCTGCTCTGCATAGATATGTTTCTTGTTATGGCATAGATGCGCATGCTGATGTGTCGTAGTTGATAGACCATCGCCATTTTGTAACAATGTACATATAGCCGAAGTGCGCCCAGATGTTTGTATGGGCATAATCACCAAACCTTTCATTGTAACGTCTTTGTTGTGTTCGATGGTAAATACATCAAAAGCAGTGGTTACGGAAAATCAAAAGCATGAAATTTTGAAGTAACTGATGGAATAGAGAAACAATTGGTGACCGTTTGTTTCATGTCACTTCATTGCACTATAAAGCTTTTAAAACCACTGTGAAACCTGTTGTCTTCATTACTTTTTCTATTGCCATCACAATGCCATGCATGTTACATGTACTTTAACCTGGCTTTTATCAGCAATAGTAGTCGTTCATAGAATCTATCTCTCTCGAAGACTTACGAAATGCTAAATAAGTATAGTATCACTGTCTGTTATGGGGCGGTCGTAGCTCGAATTACGTGAAATCTGTCAAAATCATTGTGCTGTCTTCCGTCAATCAAAGTGTTCTATGACCCTCCTATCGTGTAAGGTGGGGGATGTAGCTGGTCACTTACAAGCACACCCTCCAACGCGTACTAGTAAACGCTACAACGCTCATTTCGCATACTAACGCAGCAGCGCTCCGTCACTAGTATTTTGCGCACTGACGCCGCAACGCTTATTTCGCGTACGTTTACTAATGCCACAACGCTTAGCACTAACGCCACAACCCTTATTTCGCGCTCCACCCTTTCTGTTCGTTCTATCTCCAAGCTGAAAATGACTTATTTTGTTTTATCTTGTCCATGTCGATGCCTATTCTAGGTTCGGAGACTGTGAAGCAGCTACGGGCACACAACTTACAACACTTGTAGGAGGGCATCACAGTCAGTTTGATGGATAGCCTGGTAAAAAAAGGTGTTCCTGGATATATAACCCATGTAACTATGAACTGAAGACTGTCCCAGGATAAAGTGAAAGAAACTGTATAGACACTAATACACACAATTAACCGTTGTGTATAATTCACATTATTCAAATGTGCGAAACAGATGTGCTTTATTATTGGGATCATAAAAGACATTATTCTACATTATTGGGATGTAGAATATACACAAGTCATATTCAACTAATCCGTTCTTAATATTAAACACTGACCAAGTAGTAGTCAGAAACAGTTTTAAGTATGCTATATTATTTAATCTTTTAGTTTTTCGTTTGACAAAGTAAAAATAATACACCATAGGGTTCAATTCAGGGTACTCAAAAGTTGTATAAATCTGTTGCAGTCAAACCAACCTGATTTTATGAATGACATGGATCCACAACAAACAAAGTATGCCAGTTCGTTATTATACACCATACTCTACAACAGGACAACGTGCGTCCGGAGAGAGGAAGTGTAGAAGAAATTATACAGTTTGTAGTATCGTCTTCTGAAATAAGCAAGTAATGCTGTCTACCTCCCAAGAACTGTGGGCACACTGGTCGATTTAGACAAGCCAGCCAATGAATTAAGCAAGCGGCTCCCCTAGCGCTTATGGTTATATTGCACCATTAATTCTTATACCTTACAGTATTTTAGAAGAATAAACAATACAGTACAATGAATGGATCTTTTTTCTACGTAGCTTTCATATGCGTAGCCCTCATCACCCCTTTCAACTTATATTTGATTACAACACTCAGGGTTGAAGCACTGAACGGCTAATGAACAAAGAAGCAATTCACGATCAAGAAATATGGAAAGAAAACACTAAGTAAAGATCAAGAATAGTCAGATTTTATATAGTCGTGAAAGTACTGTTCCTGAGATCGCCGTTCTCATACACACCCACCCCACCGATTATTATCGCTCCGCCCCTTAGGGAGTAAAGGTTCAGAAGGACAAAGGTCACTAGTCACAAGACTACACAGATCTAACAAATCTACAACGAGTTCCGGAGGTATTATAAAGTTAACGTCCTGATTTGCCGCACGTGGTAAGTTTCACTATGGCAGGAATCACTGTTCCAAGCGTGGAACTGACAGGAGGAGTCAAGTTCCCCATGATCGGGTTCGGGACATGGCAGGTGGGTAACAATACTGTGTAGAATACACAATTTCAGCAGTGACACGAGTACTCTAAGTTGTATCCGATTCACGGTGATTGAACAGATGCCGAACCAATTGAATAGTGCTACGACTAAAACGCGTCACCAGTACAGTGATTTGAAACGGTGTTTGGAATGGTGTTCGGAATATAGTGTTTGCGGATACTGCATGCTTGTTTGAAAATATGTCAAATACCACACAGCGCGTTCCGGGTTACCAAAACCAGGTCAAATACCCTGGGCACTTGAACTTTTGACTTTACCCGCTGTACGTTGAGTACAGCTTTTAGTACTAGAAAAACATACCTACAAACGAACATATTCTAAACTCGGTGAAGTCTATAAGAATTAAAAGCCATAAAATACGTCCAATGGATGTGAAAGAGGGAACTATAATCAACTCCCATGCTTATAAACAGATAAATATACCAATCCAGTAAAATAATTACTTTTGATTAAGTTTACAAGTTGGTTTTGCACCGCTCCTGTAGTCCGCTCCTGAGGTAGTAGGGAACGCCGTGAGGACCGCCCTAGACGCGGGGTACCGTCACATCGACTGTGCCTGGAACTACTTCAACGAGAAGGAGGTGGGACAGGCCATCAGGGACAAGATCGCGGAGGGGAAGGTCAAGAGAGAGGACGTCTTCGTCACCACCAAAGTAAGAAATAGCGAAGACTGTACCAGAGTGTAACACAGAAACGACGCAAGTCAAAGGTCAATGACCCGCGCCAAGGGAGTCAACAATGGGAATGCATTGTTAAACCGTCAACAAACACGTGGGCACAGCGACATCCAATAGTTCTCTGCAACTTTCGAAATTGGGACTGGCTTGGTCGAAAAGACGACTTTCAAGAGCGCTGCGCCAAAAAGGCGAGGTTCAATATGGAACTTCATGCGTTTATTCTTTTACAGCTAGCGGTATATGCAATAGTTATTCCTAAAATATTAGCATATTGCTTGTAGTCAAAATTGAATATCTTACACGTATGAACTATAATGCTATTGTCAAAGTGTCAAACAGTGCTATATACTATATATAAGAGCTGTTGTCTTTTATTAGCTGTGGTGCACTTTCCACCGGCCAGAGGACGTGAAGCGAGGGTTTCAGGAGAGCCTGAAAGACCTCGGACTGGACTACATAGACCTGTTTCTGATACACGGACCACCTGCCTTCAAGGTAAACATTGACAGTCTCTGTACGCTACATTCTTCCGACTTAAAGAAGCATTACAAGGTGATTAATGAAAGATGAAACATCAGAGTAAATTGTATTTTCCTTCAAATTTAGGGGTCGGTATTTTTAGAGTCAGTGTGAGAAATATACATTGGACTATAAACTGAATCTGTATCTGTATCTGTATAGCCGGTATAACCGCCTTTCGGCGTAACACATTAGCTGCGTAACACACCAGCTTCAAAGCAAAATACATTGAAGGTTCTGCCAGGATAAAGCTGGGCTGGCAGAACATGGACAATCCCATCAACGCTGAACTGATCGTCTGTCAAAATGAAAAGAATTGAAGGACATTGAATATTGATAGCGTATAAAAGCATATGATGATCGGACTAAAGTCAACTTATGTTCATTATAAGGTACTAGTATTCTATTCTGTCCAACCAGCCCGGACCGAAGTGGCTTGCTACTGATGACAGCGATTTTGACGACACGGACTATGTGGACACGTTCAAGGTACCGCAACTCACAGTACTGTGTTACATTTCTGTCCACTGCAGTCTAATCATTGTGTGTGTAACAACAATGATTAAAAGTACTAGTAAGTCAAATAGCTTCACTGATGATCCGTTTCTTTGTGGTATACAATATAGGCGATGGAGTCCCTTGTTGATGAGGGTTTGTGCAGGGCGATCGGCGTGTCCAACTTCAACCCCCAGCAGCTAGAGCGGGTACTGCAGGACTGCCGCATCAAACCCGCCGTCAATCAGGTAGGGAAACACTCATTTTCTGTTGGGAAGGAGTCTCTATCAACACTTGACAACACTTAAGCTCCTGTCCTGTATAACAGGAGCTTTCAGACTAATTTGCATCATCTTGTCTTGACTTGTCTGACTTTTGTTCCTTTTTCGACTTCCAAAAATTTGTCTTCACTTTATTTGCATATCAATCAACAGGTTGTGTATATAAACCTGCTTTCCCCTCTGGTCTCTCAGTCACTGACGAAAGCTAGTGGATACTAGCTGAAACGTCTGACGTTTTCAAAATCATATCCAGTTGCTTGAGTAACTGTTTTTTGGCTTATCGTATTACCTGGATGTCTAACCTTCATCGACGTAGGAGTCTCTATCCTTAGTGATTAAGCAATATCTAATATCATAACAATATTCTGTACAAATAAATTTACCAAGAGTTGATCCCATTCATTTGGAGCTCTATGGAAAATACATTTTGTATATCATAGCTAAATGTTCGTGTTTGAGGTTTAAAATATATGAACTATTTCCCAGGTGGAGCTCCACCCCTACCTGGTGCAACAGCAGCTTGTGGACTACTGCAAGTCCAAGGGCGTGGTCATCACTGCCTACAGCCCGCTGGGGTCACCCGGCAGAGACTTGTACGCTATCATGTCTTCTGTTTTTTTCACTAATCTCCAAGAGGTTTGCTTGGAGATGATTTTTCCACAAACATTCCTGGTTCTACGTATTGTGCTTTTCTTCTTAGCAGTCAAAGTAACTTAAGAAGAGCCCCACGGAAACGCAATAATACACATTTGCTTGAGGTTCCATGGCAAGCCAAAAGAAGGACTGTAAACATCGTTTGGTTACCTCAAGGAGGTTAAATACATTTAACCTCCTTGGTTTATCTCTGTACGATTCAAGCTCTGTACGACTCAGGCCACTTGAATTAAGTGGCCTGCCTGGCGTTGAATCCCGTCGTCGAAACGTGATGAAAATGTTGCAATAACGCGATGAAATAGAGCCGTAAACTGGCGTGTAAGATTTCTTACTTGCATGTTGCAAGTGATCTATTAGTTGATACTTCACACCCATAAGACCCCCCAACATGTCTCAACAACTTGATCCCCCCCCTCCCTGCAGCGCCCAGCCAGGGGAGGCCAGGGTTCTGGAGGACCCTGTCGTCCTGGACATCGCTAAGAACCACGGGAAGACACCTGCACAGGTCATTAGCAATAGCAACTTGCCATCGGTTGCGAATATTTTTTTTATTCACATAGATTCTGTGCGTAATTCACATAACACATAGAGCACATGTACTTGCAGGCTGCTCATTTGTGACTCGTAATTTCTATGTCTAACCGTTTGTATTACCACATATTCAAGCATTTGTCTCTTCTGATTATAGACCACATTACTAACAGTTATTTATATTCATGACTAATTGTAGGTCCTGCTGCGCTATCACTTGGATCGCGGGATTGTCATCATCCCGAAAAGTGTGACCCCGAGTAGGATCAAGGAAAACCTACAGGTAAAAGTTACACCAACATTTTCCCTTCACTAACAGGTTCTGATCTAAGGTCATCAAAAGTGCTGTCAAGTGGTATTTTAGGTTCAACTTGACGACTCAATGTAATGTTCACCAAACTCACATCTACTTTGTGATACTTTGAGCATCCTCATGCTATGTTACCATGGTAAATAAATCTAATACTGAATCCTAGAATATCACCAGAATATCTAAAGGTAATATCAAAATCTAATCCTGAATTCCTTACACATTACAACTTTTTAAGATACTTTAATTTCATTTCTTTCAGGTTCTTGACTTCTCGCTAACCAGTGACGACATCAAGAAACTGAACAGCCTCGACCGGAATAACCGCTACGTTGACTGGTCATTGTAAGCTTTCTTTCATATTCAGTAATTTTATGTTCAGGTTACCACTGGTATCTATCAAAAAGCTGTTCTAGTGATTACTGTAATGAGACATTTATGTAGTTGTGAAATTTCAGTGTCAAACTTTTTTAAATAATTTCTTGGATATCACAGAGTGTCTGCGACTACAATTATACAAAATTTCTATCCCTGTCCAGCTGCAAGACCCACAAGTATTTCCCCTTCCATGACTCAGCATAATCGTGGAGGTATAATCAACCGCGGTAGATTTGACCACGAACTAAAGGGTCATCTCTTCTACACTGAGCTGATACGTCACCCGTACTGAAGAAACCAACGTGCAATGCTGATGTCTTACCTCTACAGATGCATATGGTTAACATTGTCGAATATTGACTGGAACAAATCAAGATACAAACTGTATAAGATTCTTTCTCTGCAGTACGTGTAATGTGCACGTGTGGTGAACGATATCAGCAATTCGCAATCGCTGTCTGTGCACAGCGTGTGTTTTACTGTTGCAATCCGAATAAACTAAAATCATTGGATGCCTTAGTTGGTCTATGTACGTACAGTCACCTGCAATGATGCATGGTCACCTACAAATTTTATAAAACTCAGTTAACATTGAGTAATTAAGATGTACCGGCTAACCTCCATCCCTCCTCAACAAACTAAATGAGGCAAAGATTGGGCAGTTACACCTGGTCCACGATATTTGTATCAACATATACAACAGTTTAAATAAATAGAAAATTACAGTTTGCACATTTTATGTAGACGTCACGACAGAGATTATCACCACATATCAAAATATACATCAGAAAATAACAGACCAGGTTGCTTTGGGTGATATTGCGTCATTGTACCGACCTCGGCTGGTCACTGAATGGGTAATATTTATGTGTTCTGGAGCTGAAAAAAACAAACAAAAGCAAAATGGCATGAACTCACTCATCATCATCATCATCTACTGTATTCTGCATCTGCAGTCGTGAGAAGACGTCCTGCTGCTGCATTCAGTCTTTCTTCATTTCTTTCCACTATATCATACACTGCACTACAGTACACTACACTTAAAGTAAATACTCACTATTGCCACGTGACGTATCGGTGGTTCCTATCCAAACTGTTCAGAGTCCTGATGTCATCTTCTGTCAGTCTGAAATCGAACACCTACAAAAGAAAGAACAGATTTTAGTATGTAATCCACCAGGCAACGTTTCTAAACCAACAATATTGAAATATGCAGAATTACTAAACGGTACGGCATGACTCTTCGTACCTCTAAGTTCTGACGGATCCTGGTTGGGGTGATGCTCTTTGCCAGGACAGAGATCCCGCGTTCTAGGTGGTAGCGGAGAAGTACCTACATGCAACATTTCATCATCAAACTGGATGAACTTTGAGTGATGAGCAGCGAGTAAGCACCGAAAGGTATTGAGATAATTTTGCATTTGAAATCAAGATCATACAATTTTTAGCAGTCACAGGATGTGACCTGTACAGTATTCTACAAACCTGCGCTGGGGATTTCCTGTGCCTTTTGCCAATTGCAACAACTACTGGGTCTTCCAATAACCGTGGTTCACTGAAAATGTCGTAAAAAGAGGAATACTACATCACAAGTTGCACAGGTGCGATTTACATGAATCGAAGAATAAATGAACATCATGAAGGTTTTTACACACCAGTTATACTTCTGTAGTCAGGAATATCAACACCTGTTTCCTTTTAGAGAAGGCAATGAGCACGAGAGAAAAGTGGACACGACGAACATACTTTCCTACTTCAGGGGTGGAGCCGAAGGGGCTGTACGCAGTAAGGATGACATCCTTGGATTGACAGTACTTGATCAGGTCTAACTGGGGCAGGTATGGATGCAGTTCCACCTGAAAAAGGAAAACAAGATTTGATTAGCAATGTTGAGTGATTAAGTGCAAAGCAGACGCTATCCAATTTCCAAAACATGCGAACTATGATAAATTCTTTAGTCTTGGACAACTTCAACATTTGAAATCAAACGTTAAGAGGTATGCAATGTTAATATTAGCATCAAACATACCTGATTAACAACAGGTTTGATTCTGCATGCTTGCAGCACCCTGTCTACCTGCTGGCTGTTGAAGTTTGACACACCCAGAGATCTGGCCAGACCCTCGTCAACAAGGGACTCCATGGCCTAAAGATGAATTATATCAACTGATAGTATAAATATGCAAGAAGCAACTTTCCAGAAGTTTACACCCAAAAAATTTGAAAGTTGAAAGAAAGTTGAAAGAGAAATGTTGAAGGACAGAATAGTTCGCAAAACTGTTGATCTAAACATTCTCCTACTTCACTTCATTGTTCGTCATATTGCACTATATTACAGCAAACCACACCTCACCTTCCATGTGTGGACATAGTCTGTGTCATCGTAGTCACTATCACTGGTGGGACGTATCTTGGGACCCTGTAGTACACAGGTGATTTACTTTTAACAACCAACACGCTAACAATACTTTACACTGTCAGGCTACTAATAGCAAAAGGGATTGAAGATACATGTACACATATATACATAATAGTTAAGCTTTTAATTTCATGACACCTTTACTTAGCATATCGAAGCAGATATTTGGTATTGCTGTATCGTACAAAAAAAAACATTGATGGCAAATAGTAATACTGCATACGCCATGCTAACCTTGAAGCCCTGAGGACCGTGCATGAGGTACATATCCACGTAGTCCAGTCCCAGTTTGTTCAGGCTGTCCGCTATACCCAGCTTCACGTCCTCAGGCCGATGGAACGTGCACCACAACTGGACATGGAATAAAGTGTAGAGAGAAGGGCGATATATAACCCCTGATTTAGAAATGATCTTGTCGACAGACGCGGACATTGTATAACGGTTTTTGCCCCCTCTACCCACACAATCATAGCTACATAGTAAAAATCAGTTTACGGTTGTCATGTCCCCAATCCATGTATTTCCTCTCTGTCACGTGCCTGCTACATGTCACAGCTACCGACTTCTCTTACCTTGGTGACGATGAAAAGCTCTTTCCGCTCCACCGTCCCGTCTCTGAGAGCATCCCTCACCCCCTGCCCCACCTCCGTCTCGTTCCCGTAGTTCCACGCGGTGTCGATGTGCCGGTATCCCGCGCCGATGGCCACCCTCACGGCTGTGGAGACTTCGTTCGGTTTGGACTGTTGACGATCATGAAGACATTTTGGTAATAAATTGGAGTTCAACAATTATTTGAAGTATTGGATAGACTGTGTGGAAACGGCGAAACGGCTCTAGCGAAACGCCATCTAGCGAAACGGCTTTACAATGCAGACCAACATCATTGCTTCTTGCAAGGCTTGTGTCTGATGTTAAGGGTCAAAATTGTGGAACATAATTCTCATAACAGAGACATACAAAACTTTATGTTACTAGCCATGATGAAACTTTTCCCCTTTAGGATATTTGAGCATATAACTAACTAGAGTTCCCCGATCTCATACCTTCGCAAAATGATGTTAATCTTTATGGCTGACAAATTATAGATTATTCTCCCTGATTGTGCAAATAGGATCCTCATTTCCATGAAATGTATCACTTTATCATATTATCAACCAAAAGAGTCGTATATTAACAAACAGTGCCATTCTATTATTTCCTCATAAATTATGCAAATTAGGTCCTGATTTGAATACATTAGGTTATGATTTTAACCTTCACTGAACTTTCAAATACCATTATCATTACAAAATTATAACATTTTCTCATCAATTATGCAAATTAAGTCCTCATTTACATAATCAATATCTGCCCGTGTTTCTCTCCTTCTCAATTACCAATGTCACAAGCTTCAATAATCCAATCATGGAATGCAGCTGATTTTATAGAATGTCCCCATAAATTATGCAAATGACATCCATATTTGCATAATTGTCACATAATTATATCAAGCATCACGTAAGCTACCTACATACCAAATATCATGACGATCCGTCAACCGGTTCTTGAGTCATCCTCTTTTGAATATTTTAAAACAGATAGCCCTGTAGTTCCAGAGCAAGCCGCTAGGGGGCCCAAACTCACGTCACTTCTTCCCCAGCACAAGAGCTACCTGCCATCCAAATTCGTCACCCAGCATGTCTGGGTCATGAGATATCAAAACTGGAAGTTCAGCTGCAGTACCATAACAAGCCGCTAGGGGCCCCAAAATCCAATCAGTTCGAGCTCTATCAAGACCTACCCACCTACCAAATGGCAAAATATGGCCCAAAATATCAAGATAATCCATCTAAGCTTTCTTGAGTTTATGCTGTTGTCAGACACACACACACACACACACACACACACGGCCAGGAAAACATAACCTTCTCCAATATTTCTTGGCGAAGGTAATAACCTTCTCCAATATTTCTTGGCGAAGGTAATAACGCCCTTGTTCCGTAACTTGAGCAGCGTATTAAGAACTGAACTGGTGCCCACATACGGAAGTAACGTTACGGTTAGCACCTAAACCACACTTAACACAAATTTGACATCAAAAGCAATGAATTTTTGTCACCTTCCATGTTCCAAGTCCCAGAACAGGCAGTCTGACACCAGGTCGGAGTAGAGTTGGGATGTTAACCGTCATGTTTCCCCGGTCATCTGCCAGTAAACAGAAGCAGCACCGGCCGACCGGTTGCACGGACTCTGATCCCATGAACTGTGACCTTTTGTCCCCTGAATGACCTCACCTGAGTATCCGCGAACAAACACAATCTGTTAGCCTGTACGTATACACACGCCAGTTGTTTGCTCAAGCTTACTTGAACCAGGGACATATTATCCTGTATAATGTCCTTGCTTGAACGTGGTCCAAAGGTCACAACCTAACGATAATGCAAGTCATCATGATTGTGACTTTCCAACAGTCTCCGACACAGAATAAAGACTAGAAGCTGTGTTAAGGCTCACCGACTGCCGGGTCATTTGCAGTCACCTGATCACCAAACATCCCTATAAAAGGAATGTAAGGCACACCACATCATTGTTTAACAGCGAGGCAGGTTGGCAGAACAACGCAAGTCATCATGGCTGCTGCGGGACCCACGGCTGTTCTGAGTTCTGGCAAGACAATGCCACTTTTGGGCCTAGGGACATGGCAGGTACGGAGTAACCCTAAAGCCTATCATTTAGTCAGCTGAGCTTAGGGAAATGGCACTGATTTCTATTTTGAGGAATTTATGCATGTCCGATTTCCTTCCCCAAGTCCAAGCCCGAAGAGGTGTTCAATGCCGTCAAAGTTGCAATAGACGCCGGCTACCGTCACATCGACACCGCCTGGGCGTACAGAAACGAGAAGGAGGTGGGACAGGCCATCAAGGAGAAAATCGCAGAGGGAAAGATCAAGCGGGAGGACGTCTTCGTCACCACTAAGGTACGTGCAAAGTCACCACGTAGATTGATACACTCGAAACCTTTGTTTGACAGGACCTGCCTGGTGTATTTTGAAATATCTTGAATCAGAAACATAACTTAGTTCCTGAAACAGACTGCATGCCTTTCTACAGCTGTTCACCAGCTTCAGCCGGCCGGAGCATGTTCGCGAATGCATGATGCAGAGCCTGTCCGATCTGGGGCTAGACTACGTGGACCTGTACCTGATACACAGCCCATTGTGTTTCAAGGTTAGAATTACGACTGGTGTAACATATATATAACGTTATATGTGGAAGTACCGAGTCTTCGGTACGTGAGAAGTGTATGAATATTGGTCTTGCAGTCTATGAATATTAACCTTACCAACAGCACTGAGCACGGAGATTAACAAACAACAAACGGTATCGATGACCATGACTTGCAAAATACCAGCGCTGCTCTAATGACCAACACGAACTTTAGACCTATGTGGTGTGTGTAACCTACATTTGTGACCTCGATAGTGGGAAACTTTACGCAGATTGATATCAGTTTACTTGGGCAAAAATGTACAGTAAAGGTCTTCATTTATTATCATCTGAACTCCGTGTGTAAAACTTTAGAAACAAGTTGAGATGTACCAGCTTTCCTTACCATCCTGTTTGTATAATACAGTACGGAACCAACCCCTTCCAACACGCCGGTAAACTGGAGGAGATTTTTGATGACGTGGATTATGTTGAAACATGGAAGGTGAGTGAAACTTGATATATTTGAGATGATGAGTAGTAATTCAGTAACTGTACCAGTATCCCGAGACAGGAACGTCAATTCTGCGTCAGGCTGATTTGTGAGTTCAGAAGTTAGTATAACGCAGATTTTTGTCCTTCTTCGTTTATCTTATCTCTGTCAATGTACGAACAACCAGAAAAGCATCTTCACCAAAGCAAACAATATTTTCCAGAAATTAGGCCTGTAAATGTTGCTGTAGCATCTCTGCTGATTCTAACCAACTTCTGTGTATCGTTACTACATTTAGGCCATGGAGTCCCTGGCTGATGAAGGTTTGGCCAAGTCTATCGGCGTGTCGAACTTCAACATCCAGCAGCTGGAGAGGCTGCTGCAGAACTGCCGCATCAAGCCGGCGGTCAACCAGGTACGCGTGTCGGCCGTACGGCTAGCTTTCTAGGGAACCTTTCTTTCTCTTTTTACGACAGCTGTGGTGACAATTTGCTATCACTTTCCCCACACCATTTCTACAGACAACA